CATTTAGTAGAGGTGAATGCTACAAGGTTACCTCTGTCACACAGTTGTGACACACTGATCAGGCTATATTTCAAGCCATCTATCAAGTAGACATTCTCAATGGAGTGAGAGTCTGTCTTACCTACCTTTCCAACCCCAATGATCTCACCTTTCTTTCCATTCCAAAAGGAGACATTACCTCCTTTTAAGTCCTCAAGTGAAAGGAACTGGTCCTTGCTCCCAGTCATATGTTTTGAGCAGCCACTATCCATATACCATATTTGGCTACTTCCTTTCACTTGGACCTGCAAAAAGAAATCAGGGGTTAGTCTTAGGAACCCAAACTAGTTTGGGTCCCTTTCTATAGGCAAAAGGATGAATCAAATTCCTTCTTGCCCACCCAGGCAGCTTACTTTTCTCTTGAACAAAGGCTTTGTTCTTTTGACTGGCCTTTTCTTTTGCATTACATTCATTTTTGTAATGGCCAGTCTTGCCACAGTGTGTGCATACTTTATTCTCAGGAAGAGTGAGGTACTTGCTTTTAGGGTCCCACTTTGGTGCTTGAGTCCCATAGCCAAGTCCTCTTTTGTTGCTACTGTGATGCTCTTGCAACCAAGAAAGTGCATCAGAAGCCTTGTTCCATTTGCAAGTTCTGTCTAGTTCATGTTTCACTTTTCTTAGATCTTCTTTTAGGACCTTAATCAATTCATCCTTCTTGTACAACTCATCCTTCATTTTCCTAAGTTTTCCTCTAGAGTGAGATATGTGTGATCAGCTTTCTTCTTTCCTGTTCCTAGTTTCAGTTTTAAGTTTTCAGACCTAAGTTCTAGGACACTGGTGTCAAGTTCAAGAACCTGGTTCTTCAACTCAGCATTTTTGCTATCACTCTCATTAGCCCTAGACTCTAGACTTTTGCATTTTGCTTTTAGGATCACACATTCCCTAGACAAGTCTTCCTTCTCATGGTTAATTATTTCAGACTCATCAATGAAGTCTAGTAATAACTCAGCCAGCCTTTCTTTAGATAGAAATTTAATCTTGTCATTGAGATGAAGAATACTTACCTCTTGTTCATTATCTGATTCTCCAATAGCCATAAGGGCCTGTTCATCTCCAGCTTCATCTTCTGAGTCCTCATCTGATGTTTCTCCCCAGGCAGCAACCATAGCCTTTGTTGATCCTTTGTTCCTTTTTGGTTGAACCTGTTCCTTCTTCCTGTTCCTTCATTCAGCCCTTTCTTTCTTCCACTCAACTTCCCATTGAGGGCAGTTCTTGATCATGTGATCAGTCTTACCACACTTATAGCAACCCTCATTGGTCTGTTTCTCAGGAGCCCTTGGTTTGTTGAAGGTTGTACCTCTTGAAGAGCCCTTTCCTCTCATCGGGTGCTTTTTGAAATCCCTTGTGATCATAGCCATTTCATCATCCTCCAGATCTGAACCTTCAGCAATTCTGAGAGCCAGACTTCTTTCCTTCTTGGGTGTATCCATCTTTATGGTTTGCCTTCTCAGTTCATAGGTAGTAAGATTTCCAATTAGTTCATCCAGCTTGAGGGTAGCAATATTCTTAGATTCCTGAATAGCAGTGATTTTGCTTTCCCATGAGACTGGCAAAACCCTTGTCAAGATTTTCTCAACCTTGTCTTCTTAAGAATAATCCTTCCAAGGGACTTAAGTTCATTTGTCAGTGTAGTGAACCTAGTATACATCTCTTGGATAGTTTCTCCTTCCTTCATAGTAAAATTCTCATATTGAGAATACAGCAGTGTTCCTCTGGACCTCTTCACTTGAGGTGTTCCTTCATGAGCCACTTGCAAAGTGTCCCAGATTTCTTTAACAATGGTACAACTTTGGATCCTGCTGTACTCATCTGGACCTAGTCCACACACAAGCCATTTCTTGGCCTTAGCATTTTTCTCCCACTTCTTTAGGTCTTCAGCAGTGCAGTCAACCCTTGTCTTTGGCACATCCACTCCTTCCTCATTCTTCTTTGTAGTTGCTAGAGGACCATCAGTGACTATGTCCCAGAGTTCATAATCTTCTCCTATGATGTGATCCCTCATCCTGTTCTTCCACCAAGAATAGTACTGTCCATTGAAGAGTGGAGGCCTAGCAGTGGATTGCCCTTCCCAGTTCCCAGGTGGTGCACTCATTTTGATCTTTTCCTAAGGTGTTAGCCTCTTCAAGGATAACCTGCTCTGATACCAATTGATGTTCTAAACGTCAATGCCACACAAGAGGGGGGGGGGTGATTTGTGTGGTACTCAATTTTCGCTCTAGAAGAACCTGGTTCTTCTAGGTGTACTAACTACTACTGTTTGCGGAATTAAAAGTACATCAAATAAAGAACACAGAGATTTTTTACGTGGAAAACACCTGGCTCAAAAGGTGAAAAAACCACGACCTACTACTCAGTAGGATTTTCCCAAACTTCCACTAAAATCACTGAGCCAAAACAGCATTTACAAAAACTCTTTGTAAACCTAAGGATTAACTCTAATCCCTTTGTAGCACACAACCTCAACTGTTGCGACAACTTCAAGTTAGCCTAATTTGAATACTCAAAGTACCTATTACAATTGCTTCTATAAAAGCTGAAAGGTACAACTTTAATCCACCTACTACAATTGAACTAAAAATAAAGAAAGACACATAAAACTCTTTATGGAGCTGGTTCTTCAATCTTGTTAAAGTAGCTTCAGGAGTGCACACTTAAATCTCACATAAATTGCTTGCAAAATCGCCTTGCTCTTTTGCTCTCAATTTAGTTTAACTTCTGCGTATGTGCAATACCTGTATAAGAGAACAATCACTGTTATTTAATGAGTTAGTAATTAGAGTTTGATTGAGACTCAATTGTTGATCTTCCATCGAAGTTGAGTCCTTGAACAACACAAACTCCAACCCTATCTTATATCCGGATTGTATTCTCTTCCCATAAGGAGACTTTCTCTCCTTATCCCATATGCAACCTTTTCGATCAGTTCAGGAGATATTGCGGCTTGATCAATGGGACTTATCTCCTTCACGTGCATCTCACATGTATAGGTTGACAAACACTGTGCTTCACATGATGGACCTGGTCCATGACTGAGTTCGTTTGTCATTCTTCAAAACTTCACCTGTTCTTGGGACAACACGAGTAAATAAGAAAGACAAATGACAACAGAACTCAACAGAACGAATCGAACTACATGGGTGACGTAATAAACAACCCAAACAACAGAAACAATTTGAATGACCCGAACAATCAGGGTGTGGCACCTCTTGTGCTAGAAGCAGCCTTCTATGATTGGGCACAACCCACCACTGAAAACCTGGCAACCGCAATTGCAGTCCCTCCGATTCAAGTGGATTCATTTCAAATTACAAACAACATGCTACATTTGTTGCAGAACAAGGGTCTGTTCTCGGGGTCTTACATTGAAGATCCACAGCAGCATCTGAAAAATTTCCTGTCGATTTGTGTCACACAAAGGCAACCGAATGTGACACCGGAAGCAATAAGACTGTTGTTGTTTCCATTCTCAGTGACGAGAGAGTCTCAGACTTGGCTCAATTCGCTCCCCATAAACTCCATCACTATTTGGGAGGATTTAGTCAAGCAATTTTTGAACAATTTCTACCCACCCAATAAGACTACCAAGCAAGTTGATGAGATATTGAGATTCAGACAAAAACTAGCTGATACACTGCAAGAAACGTGGGAGAGGTTCAAGGGGATATTGGTCAAGTGTCCACACCATGGCATTCCTGATCAGATGTTGGGGTAAAGGTTCTACATGGGATTGGCAGACAGCTTGAAGGCCAATGATGATGCTTCAGCAGGTGGAACATTTTTTAGCAAATCATTGAGAGAATGTAAGGTCTTACTTGATAAAATGACTCAAAACTCGAGATGGATGACAAGAGACTCTATAATCACTCCTCTAGTTCACTCAGTACCCAAACAACTCCATGGCTGAGAATATGGATACTATGATGACGTAATTGAGTATACTAACCAAAACGATTGATGAGTTTGGCTAGAAGCAGGTGCACATAGTTGACACGACAAATGGAGGATTATGCACACCATGCATTAATCAACCATATGTGTGCTCGTGGAGTGGTGAGAGTGACAATCAAAACTATCAAGAGAATATGAACTATATGGGCAACCATGGAGGCCAGAGACAAGTTGGTCAGACTTGGGGACAACAAAATCAACAATATAGGCCTGTACAGCAGCAGTACAATAATAATAATAATAATGTTGGAGCTGCACGACCATAGGGTCAGGTTGTGCCTTATCAAAGGCAACAAGGGTACAATCAGCAGAATCAGCAACTAGCTTATCAATAACCTCAACAGCAACAGATAGTGCGACAAGATGATGGGTTATTTGAAGTTAAAGGAATGTTGCAATAACTCGTTGAGTCCGGGGGAAAATGGAAGAAAAAGTCCAACTGATGCAAGAAAAGGCACACTAGATGCACGAAAATGTAGTATCACACGACTCAGCTATCAAAGGCATTGAGATTCAACTAGGGCAAATTTTAATGGCCCTTAATAATCGTCCTCAAGGGACATTACCTGCAGACACACATGTTAACCTAGAAGAGCAGGGCCCGAAGCAGTTGATGGCTGTGAGTCTGAGAAATGATAGAGATCTTGATCTAGAGCAAGAAATTGCTCGCGAAAGCCGACTAACTGAGATACTTGTGCCAATACCAATTGAGATAGATGAGTCAACTAAGCTAATAGAAGTAAGAGTACAGCCAGCTCAGGAGGAACTAAGCAAAGATAAAGAGGTTGCAAAGGAGACTGAGAAAGTGCAAGAGAAGGCATTAGAAAAAATGCCCGAGCAAGATCTAACTCAAGTCACAGGAAAGAAGCGACCGCCAGCACCCTTTCCTCAGAGGTTGGCCAAATATCAAAAGGATGAGCAGTATAAGAAATTCATGGAGATATTCTGGTGAACATTCCACTGATTGATGCCTTGAGAAAGATGCTCGATTATGCAAAAATGAGAAGGACTTGATGTCTCGCAAGTTCAACTTTCAAGACTTGGCGACTGTGACACTAACTCAGACCTGCAGTGTTGTCGTGACAAGACCTATTGCTGAGAAGCTACCCGACCCAGGGAGTTTTACAATTCCGTGCACCATAGGGAGCTATGCTTTTGCCAAAGCATTGTGTGATTTGGGGGCGAGCATATACTTGATGTCCTTGTCTATCTATAAAAGGTTAGGCATTGGAAGGGCAAGACCCACATCCATGTTACTACAGCTAGCCGACCGAACGGTGAAGAAGCCATAATGTATACTTGATTATGTACTTGTGCAGGTTGGAAAGTTTGTGTTTCCGGTAGATTTTATTATTCTAGATTGCCAGGTTGATGAAGAGATTCTTATAATTTTGGGAAGGCCATTCCTGGCTGTAGGGAGAGCTTTGATTGATTGTGAACTAGGAGATAAAGATGAGACTGAACGATGAAGAAATAACATTCAATGTGCAGAAGTCTATGCGGCGACCAAGTGAGTTTGCTAATTGCTCTCTGATCGAAGCTGTGGATGTGATTCTGGAGGAGGAAGATGAGGCACTGAATGCAAAAGACCCCTTAGCAGCCTACTTCATGAACTTAGAAGAGGTAGATGGTGAGGACTTAGTGGAGTGGGTTTTGGCCCTTGAAGGACAAGGGTACAGGAAAAGAGAGCTCAAATTCGAGCCTTTACACTTAGAAGAAAGAAAGATCCCTCTAGCTAAGCCATCAATTGAAGAGCCACTACAGTTGGAGCTAAAGTCGTTACCGTCTCACCTCAGGTATGCCTTCTTGGGACCTAGCTCGACATTACCTGTTATTATCTTATCTGATTTGTTAGATGTACATATAGAATAACTTATGCACGTTCTGAAAGAGTGCAAGACTGCAATTGGGTGGACCATTACAGATATAAAGGGTATCAGCCCAACATTTTGTTTGCTTATGATTCTACTGGAAGATGGGCACAAACCTTCCAGAGAACATCAAAGAAGGATGAACCCCAATATGAAAGAAGTGATCAGGTGGTTAGATGCGGGAATCATCTTCCCCATCTCTGACAGTAATTGGGTCAACCCAGTTCAGTGTGTGCCAAAGAAGGGTGGAATGACTATAGTGCAAAATGAGAACAACGAGTTGATCTCAACTAGAACAGTCACGGGATGGCGAATCTGAATGGATTACAGAAGCTTGAACAAGGCCACCCGAAAAGACCATTTCCACTGCCATTCATTGATCAGATGCTAGATAGATTGACGGGGAGGTCCCACTTTTGCTTCCTGGATGGATACTCGGGGTATAACCAGATTTCTATTGCCTCGGAGGATAGAGAGAAAATGTCGTTCACCTGTCTGTATGGCATCTATTCCTTTCGGAGAATGGGGTTTGGCCTATGCAACGCACCCACCACATTCCAAAGGTGCATAATGGACATCTTCACATGGTAGATAAAATAATGGAGGTTTTCATGGATGACTTCTCAATTGTTTGGAACTCATTCGATGATTGCCTTATGAACTTGAAAAGAGTATTGAAAAGGTGTATGGAGACTAATCTGGTACTGAACTGGGAAAAGTGTCATTTCATGGTATAGGAAGGTATAGTCTTAGGACACCTAATGTCAAGTAAGGGAATTGAGGTGGACTGTGCTAAGGTTGATGTAATTGAGAAGTTACCTCCACCCATTTCCATCAAGGCCATAAGAAGTTTCCTTGGTCAGGCCATTTTCTACGTGCGGTTTATAAAAGATTTTTCCAAAATTGCTAACCTTTTGTGTATCTTTCTTGAAAAAGATCACCCCTTTGTGTTTTCTGATGACTGCATGGTAGCTTTGAGAAGTTGAAGAAGAGGCTGGTGGCTGCACCAATCATAGTGGTCCTGAGTAGGAACAACCTTTTGAGTTGATGTGTGATGCAAGTGACCACGTTGTGGGCAGAGAAAAGATAAGGTCATGCATCCAATCTACTATGCAAGTAGAACATTGAGTGGTGCCTAACTGAATTACATAGTGACAGAGAAAGAGATGCCAGTAGTGGTGTTCGCATTTGACGAGTTCAGGTCATACCTGATAGGCTCGAAGGTAATTGTTTATACTAACCATGCTGCTCTCGGGTACCTAATTGAGAAGAATGAGTCAAAGTCGCGCCTGATTAGATGTGTGTTACTGCTGCAAGAGTTCAACTTGGAAATATGTGATCGAAAGGGAATGGAAAACCAAGTTGCCGATCACTTGTCCAGGCTTGAAGGAGCTGAAAAGAGGGTTGAGGTGGAAGAGATCGTGGAGACTTTCCCAGATGAACATCTTTTAGCCCCAATCCTTGAGTTAGCGCCATGATATGCAGATATTGCAAACTACCTGGCGAGCAGTATTGTTCCCTATGACTTGTCCTCTATGCAGAAGAAATAGTTCTTTTGTGATTGTCGCGTGTATTTCTGGGATGAACCATATTTTTTTAGGATTTGTATTGATAACATGATCCGGAGATGCATTCCCGAGATAGACCAAGCTTCTGTTTTGCAGGCATGTCATGCTTCACCTGATGGATGCCATTTTGGAGGAGTAAGGACAGCTGCTAAAGTGCTGGAGTTGGGCTTTTATTGGTCGACGTTGTTTAAAGATGCACACTTTTGGGTAAAGAGCTGTGATGAGTGCCGACGGACGGGGAATATTTCCCGTCGACATGAGATGCCCATGAATCCAATTCAAGAGGTGGAAGCATTTGATGTATGGGGAATCGATTTTCATGGGACCATTTGTCAGCTCATATGGCAATAAATACATACTGGTAGTTGTGGACTATGTCTCGAAATGGGTAGAAGCCGTGGCACTCCCAACAAATGAAGCAAATGGAGTTATTGATTTTCTAAGAAAAAATATCTTCACCCGATTTGGTACTCCAAGAGAGATCATCAATGATGGAGGCACCCACTTGTGCAACCGAGCCTTTGCAAAGTTGTTGGAGAAATATGGTGTTTGCCATAAGGTTGCCACTCCGTATCACCCACAAACAAGTGGGCAAGTGGAGGTGTCAAATAGAGAAATCAAGAACCGTAAATGCTACTAGGACTGATTGGGCGAGAAAATTGGATGATGCACTATGGGCCTACCGCACTGCATTCCAAACTCCGATAGGTATTTCACCATACAAATTGGTGTTTGGAAAAGCGTGCCACTTACCGATGGAGTTAGAGCATAGAGCTTTTTGGGCGTCAAGGCAATTAAATCTTGACTTGGAGGCCACTGGAATGAGTAGAGTCACAGAGCTGCATGAACTTGATGAGTTCCGTTACCATGCTTTTGAGAGTACAAGGCTATATAAGCAGAGAATAAAGATGATGCATGACAAAAATATCTTTGAGCAAAATTTTAAACCTGGAGATGTGGTATTGCTATATAATTCGAGATTGAAGTTGTTTCCGGGCAAGTTGAAGTCAAGATGATCAGGACCATTTCGTGTGGTAGAGATGCATCCTGCCGGAGCCGTAGAAATTACATCAGAAGATGGCACTCGCATGTTTAGAGTCAATGGGCAAAGGTTGAAACATTACTTTGGCATGGATGAGGACAAAGTTGTATCGGTGATTCATTTGAAGGAGCCTCAAGTGTCAAGTGATTCTTGAGTTTGAGTTATTGCGTTGTGCCACGGCGTTAAATCAGGCACTTCGTGGGAGGCAACCCATTAAAATGTTGTATTCGTCATGCTTTGACATTAACTAAGACGCTCGTTAGGAGGCAACCCAATTTCTATTTTAGTTTAGCTAAACTAGAATTTTCTCTTTGCTTTTAGGCACTAACAAGTTTTTAGTTAAGTCTTGGTGTTTGAACAGGTACTGGAGCACGTTGGTAGGTCATAATGCTTGGAGTCGTTCACAAAACGGAATGAAAATCACATGAGTACGCTCCAGACCTTGCTGCCTACCTCGTGCTGCATAGCCTAAAGCACAATGGACCTGTCAGTAGACCTCGCATCACCCAGCTCTTAGTGTGATACTCCACGCTACACAGCTCGCGTCGCACAACTCCTAGCACGCTAATCCATGCTGCTTCCCTCACGCGCCCGATCTCCTCCTCATTGCAGAGCTCGCGTAGCCTGGTCCCCTGCTTGCTGCCTCCTTTGCGTCGTGTGGTCTAATGCGAGAATGTCCTCGCTGCTGGACTCGCGGTGCCATGTAAGTTTGAATTCTTTTTTTTTCAATTTCTTTTCTTTTCTCCTTATTTCCTCCTTTTCTTAAAACACCAAACATCACCACTGCCCGACCACTGTTCTCTAAAACGCCACTGCTCACCCTAATCTCCCCTCTCACAAACTCCATTAAATTCATACATTCCTCCACTCATTCATTCCCTAACAACATCAATTAAAGAGCAATCTCCTAAGCATCTAAGGTATGGGTTCTAACTCTTCTCTTTGTCAAATTTCGAATTGGGTGAAGTAATGAAATCAGACACCTTTTGGGTATGTTCTTCATAGTAACAATGTGCTTGTTTGTCCTAATCCCATAAACCCCATAGGAATGGTATTTTTGTTGTTTACAAGGGTGGTAACACGAAATTCCCAAGCCGATTTGGGAGGGTGAGGCAATCCCTCATTCCTACGAGCACCTCCATGGAACTAGTGCATGCTAAGTGTTTGTCAAAATGCCTCAAAGGCATTCTTTGTCCCCATTGGAGCCCGAGTCTCCGGGGGTTGTTATACTAGTGCTATGTCGTCTTGCACTACTTGAAATTTTAAGTGTGGGGTGGATCACCGGAGCCGAGATGGTAGTTATATGCATCGCATTTGTAACAGACATCATTGTGCCATTGCTTGATTCTCGTGCAGAAAAAAATAAAGAGTTGAAGTCTGAGTAGCCTCAAAATTGTGAACATCATGTGATGATTTCTTAAGTGTGGGGTCGTAAGACCATGTTTTTAATTGATTCAATGTCTTTAAGGCTGACTAGTGTCTACTTGTGTAGGTACAAATATGCCTCCTAAGAAGGACAACGGTAAAGGAAAGGGCAAGGCCACTGCCCCAACCAAAGGCAAAGGCTTCCTCCGCACCTCTACTGAAAAAGAGGAAAGGAGGGGAGGCCACTTCAAGTCAGGTTGAGGGGTTGCAAGCAGTGGCAGCTATAGCAGCCTCACGCCCACAGCCTGCAGGACAGGGAGAATTTTGACTTAAGAGTATACCCCCATCGGCCAAGGGCCGGTACAAGAATGTCGGCCGAGACATATACACTCTAAGTTGACTGTTCATGAGCGCCGTCTAAAAGCGAAGTATCAATCAATTTGGAAGGGTATTCATGATCTTGGATTGAGCTACGTGTTTAGAAACACTGGGGACATCAATGTAAACCTTGTCCGTGAGTTTTACGCCGGCTATGATACGAATGATCCTGAGCAGCTAGTGCCTATTCGGGGGAGGTTGATTGATTTTTCTGCATTAGCTATATACTATTACTTGGGAGCACCGGATGTTCTCTAGGAGCCCCTAGATAACTTCATTGCCCGCCCAACATATGTGGCGCTGAGACACACTCTCTGTGGTGCAATTATGTGGCTGCTTGGGTCCGTGACAAGAAGACCCAATGTCATGGGAAATCCCAAAGAGAAAAATGAAGCCGGAAGCTCAGGTGTGGTTGAAATTAATCAACACGCGGCTGCTACCATGCAACCATGAGACTCTAATTAGCCGTTAAAAGGTTTGTCTGTTGTACTTCCTAATGACTGGCCAGAAGGTGAATGTGGACCAGTTGATACAATACCAGATGGCATAGGTGAGAAAAAGCAAGAGAATTGATACATTGTCCTTCGGTAATATGCTGACTCATTACCTGAGAAAAGAAGATGTGGAGGAGGAGCGAGATTTTGATGTAGTCATTCCACCACCCCTCTGACTGACGGACATCACCAGCATCCAGTCAAAGGAGGAGAGTGATATGTCCTCACTGACAGGTGCTAAGTGCAATGCTCGAGATGACAGCTATATGGCCCATTTAAATGGGATGATGGACTTGTAGCTTAGGATTGGAGGGAGGCCGGACACTACGGAGGAGAGTACTATCTTGGAGGAGCGTTTTCCGCTCAATGCTCATGCCCAACATCTGGTTGGGCTTGGTGATGGCCAGAGATTCCTAGAGGAGGAGAATGTCAACACGCCAGAGTGTTCCGAGGCCGAGCCGGAGCAGTTCGAGGAGGAGGAGGAGGAGGAGGAGGATGTTGATAAGAGAGCAGAGGATGAAGAGTGGACAGCTGCAAATGGGGCCTTCGACGACGAGGGCGATGAGGATGATTGATCAGGGAGTTTTTCCTACCACCTTACTTATTTTTATTGATTTATATATGCACTGAGGACATTGCATGAATTAAGTGTGGAGTGGGGGATTCTATATTCTCTATGACTTGTAAATATTAGATAAACTAATTATTTCTTGTTTTTTTAAGCTTTTTTTCCTTCTATTTTAGCATAGAATTTAAAAAAAATTAATAATAATAAAAAAATAAAAAAATTATTATAATATTCTAGCTTAGTCTTTAGTTTTTAGAACTGCTTTAATAGTTAATCTCTTTTAAAAAAAATATTGGACTTTTCCTGACGATGGATCTCCTAGGCAGTTTTCTTGAGGGACTAAAGTCTAACCAAACATAATTTTTTTTTTGAAAAACAGAAAAATCCAAAAATATGTGCATGTGTTAAGCATGCCGCCAGCGTTCATCCTGAGCCAGGATCGAACTCTCCATGAGAGCTTGCAGCCATTATCTATGCTTTTCAGATATGGTGACATTACTTGTATGGGGGGAAGTGCCAGATCTTTACGGATCATAAGAGCTTGAGGTACTTGATGACACAGAAGGAGTTGAACCTTCGCCAGGATGTAGGAGCCGTTATTTTTGCTTTGTTTGCCGGATTGGTATGCTTTCTTTTCTAAAAACCCTTCTCTCATAGGTCGTTACATTTCAGGCCATTTACGATCGTTTAAAGGGCCCGATCGAGCTTATGTGCTTGCCAGGTCTTTCACCATCTGCTTTTCCTCTTTATTATTTTAGGTAGTAATAATCCCTCGTGATTTTTCTTTGTGACGCGGTTCTTTTTCACGGGATGTAGTTGAACCGTGTAGTAGTTTTTTTATCTTTAGAGTGGAGTATGATTTAGGGAATAAAAGTATGGGAAAAAGAAGATTTGCTTGGTGCCTTTGACTAGTTTGATAGTAGCATATTTAGGCTCTAGCATGGGTAGTGTTGATATCCAATTTTTCTCTATATATTTTAAATATGAATAAAAGCATTCAAAATAGCATATACATGCATATATAAGCATGCACAAGGCTTTTATTATTTTTTTCATAATTTTAAGGGTTTAAATTGATTTATTTTCTCTCCTTTTATCCATAAAATCCCCTATAATTATTTCCAAAATTATTTTTTTGGTAATTCATTTATTTTATTTCTATACTTATGCCAAAATATGGCTAATGTAATTTTTATGTATTTTTACAATTACATTTAGCCCATTTTAAAATATAATTATATTTTATATGCATAAAATTGGCCCCTGTATTTTTAAAATGTTAATTAGGTATTTTTAAATCATTTTGGCAGCTTAAATTATTTTCCAGATATTACTAATTATTTATTAAAATTAAAATAAGGAAAAACTGGTTATTTAAATAACAGCCAAATTTGGCTTTCAATTATAGCCCAAATCGGACCCCAATCCCAACCCAATTTTATACTTAATACCCCGACCCAGATCCAATTACCCACTACCCGACCCAAGCTATTTTAAATCATGGCCGCCCTCATTTCTCCTTTCCTTTAATTTCCAAACGACCCCTAACCCTACTCACTTTCCAAATTCCCGCCGCCCTCAGATGCTCTCATTTTCTCTCCTCTCTCAAACCCAACCCTAGACTCCGTCAAACGCCTCCTTCTCCGGTCATCTCCGGCGACCATCCTTTCAACCCAAGCCTCCAATGAGTCTCTCATCGCCTTGCTCATCATCTCTAAGTCCTTCAAGGGTCTTGGGCCATGCCGATTTGGACCTAGGGTTTCTGTTTCTGTTATTTAGGAATTCTCCAGTGTGATTTTGGGCAAAATCACACCTTATATGTTACGATCGCTGAAGTCTGCAACAGGTTCTTTCGATTTCTATTTGGGTTTCCCTTTGAAACCCTAACTCTCCTGTGAATCTCTCAGATCTGTGTTATTTTTAAACTTTAAGCCCGTTTCCTTCTATGATTTGCTTATTCTCGAGCTTCTTCTGAAAGATCCTCCACTTTAAATCGTCTTTACTTTCTTTGAAAAACTAGGGTTTCTCGGAGATCCTTCTACGCTTGTTTTAATCGATTTCCTTATGATTAAACCCTTTTCCTTGCTTATTTTTGACCAATTTTATGCTCCTACTGTTTTTTTTAAACTCGACTCTGTTAAAGCCCTAATTTTTTAAGATTTTCCTCGC